GCTTTGATGTTTACTACTATACAGAAATGAGACATTAATTTATTCAAGTTATGAAATTGATTTAAAATGCATTCTCCAATTTATTATAAGTATTGCTGTATCATGTTGTAAAATCTGAACAGGAATAATACAATTTGATGGCTTGGTCTTCTTTTAAGGTATGAAATAGAGGACTGACATTGGTTGATTTTACATTTTTGACATTTTTATAATCTGATTTATAAATGAGTTTGCATGTAGTCTTGCATAGATATAACTAATACTACCCATTTTTAAAATTTTCTCTGCAATAATTTCAAATTGAAAATAGTCTACTATATACATTTTAATGGCAAAATAGTAAACATCTATGTATATATTGTGATGAATTGCATTAAAAAGCCAGGCATGGTGGCACATGTCTGTAATCCCCTGGGCTTGGGAGGCTGAAGCAGGAGGATTCCTAGTTCAAAGCCATTCTCAGCAAAAGTGAGGTGCTGAGCAACTCAGGGAAACTTTGTCTCTAAATGAAATGCAAAATAGGGCTGGGGRTGTGGCTCAGTGAATGAGTGCCCCTGAGTTCAGTCCCTGGTTACACATCTCCTCACCCCCGCCCCCCAAGAAAGAAATTGCATTAAATGATGTTTGTTTATCCATTCCCATCATAAATACAGAATAATAGCTTTTCAGATCTACATTTTTTGTTAGCACTTGACTCAAACTTTAATCGAGACTGTGTGGGAGAACATGGCTAAAATGCTAGTAGGACCTGAATGATGCTATCAACAATATAATATATATGTTGCTTAGTTGCTAAAAATATAGATTCAAAATTTTTTACTTAATTGATAATGATTTATTATCATCCAATTCCCTATCAACTTTTCACCTAACATTTAACAATAATTGAATTAATTATTCCATTAGGAATTAAAAACAGTTGATTTTTCTAATTCTATTATTTATTCTACTATAATTTGCTGAATTTTTAGTACACATGAATTAATATATGGATTCATTAATGACTTCCCATTATAAAAATTATAAAAACTTTTATTATGAGGAGTTAATGTCAGCTTTACTTTTCTTATCCATTAACTCTTCAAAGTTGATATATAATTATAAAATTAAATAATTTTTCAAGTGTAGTGAAAAAAGACAGGTCCTGGCTGGGGTTGTGGCTCATGGTAGAGCACTTGCCTAGCATGTGTGAGACCCTGGGTTCTTTTCTCGGTGTCACATATAAATAAGTAAAAGAAAGGTCCATCAACAACTGAAAAAAAAAAGCCTCAAAAAATAGGTCCTTAATCTTTAGCCATAATCTCCATACTTTGATTATTCTATGGTACCTTACTGTATGAACTACATGGCATAATGGACTTAAATGGAGAAATAACACTATTTTCATATGCAATTAGGAATAATCACATTTTCCAAAGACATTGTATACTGTAGGTGTGACATTAAATTGAAATATGCATACATTAATGGTACACATTTTTTAGTATAAATCTCAAAATACAATCATTACATTTCAGTGGAAGTACTTTTCATCCATGTTTATATTGATACCTCTTTAAAGTGCTCCCTTAATAATTTTTGAAATAATTTATGAGAGTGTTCTTTTAAAATTCCAATTTTCTGAAAACATGTAAAATAGGAAACCTTAAAAATAATAAAGAAGCTGTCTCATTGGTGTAGGCCACTRTGTTAAATRCTTGGGTTKAAAGGTGAATGGTGATCTCTGTCCAGCCTTCACTGCAATAGTGGAAATAGCAATTTTTAAAATTAGCTAAATTATAAGTTAGAACTATAATTAAAGTAAAATTAGAATATAGAGGTAACAAAAAGCATGACATGATTAGTTCTGTTGAGAATCGGGGAATGCTCTTTAGTGAAAGTAGCATTTGAACCTGGGGTTTGAAGAATGTGAACTATTTGGGTAGAAGAAATGCTGTTGGACGTCTTGGCTCATAAACAGGGTGAGTGAAGGTGAAGAGGAGAGTGCGGCAGTGTAAGCACAGTCACCTGAAAATTCCTCTGTCTCTATACAGTGTTTGCCACAAAGGCCACGTGTTCCAACATATATTTGAGAAAAATTCTCAGCCAGGAAGCAGCCTAGAACATTATTTTTTAGGGCTAGAGACCACGTCCTGTCGGAAGGCCACTGTTGTCATTTCACATGAATKATACATTGATCCTGAAGTGCAGTTATGGTCAAGAAATAAAATCTAAAAAAATAATATTGAAACCACAAGATTTATGAACTATGGTGATTATAAAGGAAGGAGTTGAGTTTGATTCCGAATATGTTTGGAAAGGGTGCATGAGTTGACCTAGGAGGTGAGTTTCATTTTGGATCTGTTGTGTTTGATGTTTCTTTGAGGCTTCCAATTGTAAATTTATACTGAGAATTTAGGAAAATATTTAGTATTTGTGACCAGTGCCGTGTTATCAGGATAGATGGTTTTGAAATTATGCATTTTTTTTTTGAGCTTGTCCAGGGAGACAGTAGTGATCAGTCCATAGAAAGAGACCTTGAGGACCCGTTTTAGGAATAAGAACAGGGATGGGGACTCAGAAGGAGCAAAGGAGTACCAGCTGCAGACAGAATTCCAAAAGGGGAAAAAATTGAGATGGTAGTAGAACCAGATCTATTATTTTAAAGATGTATGTATTCTCCCTTTTCAAGTGATATTTTATCACTATGCAAACATCCAATTCCCTATCAACTTTTTTTTTATTGGTTGTTCACAACATTACAAAGCTCTTGACATATCATATTTCATACATTAGATTGAAGTGGGTTATGAACTCCCAATTTTTACCCCAAATGCAGATTGCAGAATCACGTCGGTTACACATCCACAATTTTACATAATGCCCTATTAGTAACTGTTGTATTCTGCTACCTTTCCTATCCCCTACTATCCCCTATCAACTTTTCACCTAACATTTAACAATAATTAATTGAATTAATTATTCCATTAGGAATTAAAAACAGTTGATTTTTCTAATTCTATTATTTATTCTACTCCATTACTTGGCACATTTCTGAAAAGAAAAAACTTTCCCTTGTCACCTGGCACTGTTGGTTTCTCTGAAACCTTTCCTACTGAAAAGACAGGATAGGTTTTTCAGACCTTCTGTTAATGATTTAATTTCTAAGCAAGGAGTTGGTGTTATAATCATCTTAAATGGGAAATGAATAAAAGAAGGTTCCTAGTGAATGGAAACTCTAATATCCCTTACATAAAAATTGCATTTCACCCTATTTCTAATTGTTCTTCTCTTTGTAGACATTTAAGTTTCTATCACTGATTATCTATCCTTTGTGGCTTATTTGAAGTTCTTGTCAGTGTATTTATGGAATATGCTGCAAAATAATTTTTCCTTTGCTTCATTCTGAAGCACGCATTTTCAGGAAAGGCTCTTAGTATTTTGACATGTGGTGAGTCTCAGTTTCTTTGTTTGCTCCATTCCTTTCCTTAGACTTGGGCATGTTTGCTCCTTATCATTTCCATGCCTGTAAGCAAGGTCAGCTCTAATCCCTGAGCTTGGACCAGCATCCTTAATCTTATCAGCATTTTCTTGTGCTTGTGTTTATGTCCCATTACAGTCCCATTACAAGCTGCACTGACCAGAAATTTATTGATTTTACTAGTAAACTTTTTTATAGATTTTTTTTTCTAATAAAAACTACTTGCTGCAAATGTTGGACTATCACAATCTAAAAATGATTTTAGTTTTTTCAGTTTAATTCTTCAAAAAAAAAATCCAAAAGTTTCACATCAAAGTTTATATTGGTAAATGTATATTTTTTGTTTCTTTATTTTCATGTGTTATAGTATTGACATAGGTCCAAGACTACTCATTTGTACTTGTTTTATTCTCTAGTAGAACTCATAAAGAGAAAAGAGTAACCTGGTCTACAGCTAAGAGTTATACAATGAGATCGTATTATTGCACTTAAAAAAATTGATAGTATGTGGTGCTTATATAGTTTAAGGAATGAGGAATAAGAATCAATTGCATATATAATATTTATAGCCAGACTGCTCTTAGCAAAATTAAGAAGAATATTATATTTCTCTTACTTTGACTAGAGGGGCTAAGCAAAAGGTAACATTTTAAATTTGTTCTTATAGAAGATAATTTAGATTTAGTTAGTGAACTCAAAATTCAGTTTCTCTACTTAGATTTGTCATTTCTTTTCTGAACATTAAAATTAAGTTTTAAATCCCAAAAGTCAAAATAAATTCTTATAATTTACTCTTTGAGTCATCCCGTAGCACTTGATTATTCTGAGGAATATTAAAAACTTAGTTAATAAATATTTATTTATGTTAAGATATAGCTTATCATAACCATGTCAGAGTGAGTGATTATGTGTCTGTTAAAAATGACAGGTTTGTGATAGCTTTCACCTTATCTTGATATTTTAGTTAATCCTGACAGTTTCTGAAATAGATAACACAATAGCCCTGAGAATCTAAAATCTCTTACCCAAAGTTACAAAACTACAAGGATCCCAAAAGTAGCAAATCTATTAGCCTTCCTTATTGTCAACATTTTGGGTAAATTGTAGAAGACACCCCACGATATAATTATGATGTTAGAAAGAAGAGTAAAAAGAGAAGATGGCACTATTAACAAATAATCAATGTCTCGCTTACAGATTTTTTTCCTTTTTAACTTTTTAAATAGACTTGCTCAGCCTGGGGAAATTGAGTAAGGTGGGAGTATGAAATATACAAGTGTTTTGTGTG